GAGGATGCAGGCACTCCCATGTTGGACTTGTTGGCTCAGCTCCCAGACCATTTACAGTCGGTAGTTCTAACATTGTTGGAGTGTGGGCTGGTGGAGTCATTTGAGAAGTTCTTGGCGTCCAACTTCGTTGACTTGATGTCCACATCGTTCCAACTCTTGAGCCAGGTAAACGAGCTATCCCGTCGGGGATTTTTTATCTCTTTTTATCTCTTTTTAGAGGGAAATAAACTAACTCTTTATTGTGTAGGCCTTGCTTTCCCTCCACATGTCCCAGCAGAAGGCTCAGCTGCGGACTGTCGAGGAACTGGTCGAGCTGCGGCGTGAGGTCGCTTGGCTTCAGTAGGAACTGAAGGCCTCGCGAGTAGACAGAGACTCGTCTGTTGCTCAGCACTTGTCTGAGAGGGATGCTACCCATTGCACAGTAGACTTCCAGAAGGTTGAGCTGGACAAACGCAGTGAGAAGGTGAAGGAACTTAAGCGGACCGTGACCAAACTCTCCAAGAAAGCTGATGAAAAAGGCCAAGTGCTGCAAAATTTCTCTGAGCGGGCCTCGCCGGCTGAGCAAGAGAGGGCCAACCTCTAGGAGGCTATGGAGAAGCAGCAATCAGAGCTTGAGGATGCAGTCTTGCGGACCAAGCAGGAAAGAGCCAACCTGTGGGAGGCCACGAAGAAGCAGCGAACCGAGCTCGAGGCAGCGCTTCACTTTACTCAGGAATGTGTTACTTTGCTCACCACAGAAATGGAACAGTGGAGTTGGAGGAAAAGGCTACAGATTGGACAGTAAGGGCTATCTTTGTTCTTCAGGCAAAGAATCCTGGGATGGATTTGTCCGACCTCCCTAATGAGTACCGGGGCGAACTTGCTACCTTGGCGCAGACCGAGGCTAAGGAGATGGCTGGGGGACCCGATCAGGAAGAACATCCAGAGTATGTCCCCGAGGAGGTCGTTCTTGGATAGGAGGTCAGCGACCAGCCCGGCGACGTCGAGATCACCCCTCTGGGGCCTGGGGGCGAGGACCAGTGATCCGCCTTTATAGCTTTTGTCCTGTTCTGTGATGTACTTTCTTTTTTTGTATAAGTAAATAAAGATATTACTTTTGATAACAGTTTTCTATGAGTACTTATAATTTTTGTACCCTTCATTACATATGGGGTCGCATGCTAACTTTTTACAATTACACTGGGATAAGCCCATGCGAATATAACTATACATTCTATGCGAACAGAATTGTACATGTAAGGCGATTATAAAAGAACTGAGTTACACTTGCTATTCACAAAGGTTAAAAAAGATAGAAACCTTATAAGGAAAAATTGAGTTCGGAATTACTGATGGTAAGGTCGGAGATATTCAGAATTCCAAGCTCGTGGTACTATAGAACCATTCAGCCTTTTAATGTGGTAAGTCCCTAGCCTTATCACTTTGGCAATGGGGTATGGCCCTTTCCAGTTTGGTCCCAAAACTCCGCACTTGGTTCTCTAGCACCAAGAATAACTTTTTTTCAATACAAGGTTGCCGACCTGGAAGTCTCTTCTCTGGACCTTAGAGTCGAAAAAACTTTTTGCGCATTGCTGGTAGGTTGTTATTCTTAGCTGGGCCTTGCTGTGATGTTCTTCGACCAGGTCCAGACTTGCACGAATAAGCGCTTTGTTGTCAACTTCGTTGTACAAGTCTCTCCAAAGTGAATCGGTTTCTACCTCTACAAGGATCATTGCTTCGTAGCCATACGCTAGCGAAAAAGGGGTTTATGAGGTAGAGGTTCTCGGAGTTGTCTTGTATGCCCATAGGACTGCGGGAAGGTCGTCGGCCCAATTCCTCTTCGCTGCGCCAAGCTTGGCCTTCAGAGTGTGCTTGATGGTTTTGTTGATAGCTTCAACTTGACCATTTGCTTGTGGTCTCGCGATTGAGGCAATTTTTTTGTGAATACTCAGCTCGTCGCAAAACTGCTTGAACTTCTCGTTGTCGAACTGTTTACCATTATCTGAAATAAGGGTATGAGGAATCCCGTAGCGGCATACTATGTTCTTAAAAATGAAGTCCTTGAGCTTTTTGGTCATGATCGCGGCTAGTGGCTCTGTTTCTACCAATTTGGTGAAGTAATCTACCGCGACCATGGCATACTTGACTACCCCTTTACCAACTGGCATAGGACCAATGAGATCGATTCTCCACATGGAGAATGGCCAGGGGCTGGTCATAGTTATCAGCTGGTGGGAAGGAGGTCGCGATATGTTCATGAACCTTTGGCACGTGTCACACCTCTCGACAAAGTTGTAGGTGTCTTCTTAGATTTGGGGCCAATAGTACCCTTGACGAACAACTTTGTTGGCGAGAGATCGTGCGGTAGTGTGATTTTCCCAGATCCCTTCATGTATCTTTCTCATGATGTAGTCTGCTTCTTCACCTGTCACACATCGGAGGAGAAGGGCGCTGAATCCCCGCCTGTACAGTTGGTCCCCGATTAGTGTGAAACGAGCAGCTCTAGTTCGCAAGATCCTTGCTTCGACCTTATCATTAGGCAAGGTCCCATTTCGGAGATACTGAATAATGGGGGTCATCTAAGAAACTAATTCTGCCACATTCACGGCCTGTTCGATTGAGCTAATGTTAGGGGTCTTAATGAACTGAACAGGAATGCTTTCCGGTGCATCCGAATCTAGCGATGAGGCTATTCTTGCCAAGGCATCTGCCACAGAGTTGCTATCTCTAGGTATCTGAGTGATGGTGAAGTGCTTGAACGGCTTGAGTGTGGCTTAGCCTTCAAATAGTTGATCATGTTTTCTTCCTTGGCTTGATATTCTCCCAAAATCTGGTTAACAACCAGCATGGAGTCACTGTGGATGCTGATTGCGATCGAACCCATTTCCCAGGCCAATAGTAATCCGGTGAGCAGAGCTTCATATTCGGCCTCGTTGTTGGTTGCCTTGAAACCGAACCGGAGAATGCCATGAATGCGAGCCCCTTCGGGACTCAAAAGGAGAAGACCTGACACGGCCCTCTTTCTGTTCGATGATCCATTGACGTAGAGGCTCCAGGTCGATAGGTGTTGGACAGTTTCCTGAATGACTTCACTGGGCTGTTGCTCCGACTCAGTCGGATGATATGAGAATTCTAATATGAAGAAGGCAACAGCTTGCCCTTTGATGGCCGCTTTCGGTTTGTACTTCAGATCGAACTGACTTAGCTCTATGGCCTATTTAAGCAATTTACCTGACACCTCTGGCTTTTAGAGGACTTGCCTAAGCGGGTAGTTGGTCATTACATGGATGGTATGGGTATGGAAGTAAGGTCGCAACTTTCTGGAAGCGATCAGTAGGGCATAAGCTAACCATTCCATTTCCAGATACCTCATCTCGGCATCCAACAGACGCTTACTCGCGTAATACACTAGCCATTAGAACCTATTCTCTTCTTGAACTAAGGCTGCACTGACCGCGAACTAAGAGATGGGCTGATACAAGAGGAGGATCTCTTGTGAGAGAGGCTTGGATAGAAGTGGTGGCTTCCCGAGATGCTCTTTGATGCTTTGGAATGCTTGTTCGCACTCGGGAGTCCACTCAAACATTTTATTGGCCCTTAGCACATTGAAGAACGGCAAGCAGCGATCTGTAGCTCTCGATATGAAGCGACTTAATGCTGCGATTCGCCCATTAAGGCTCTGAACCTGTCTCTTGGTGGTCGGGCTCTTTATATCGAGGAGAGCTTGAATTTTGTTGGGGTTAATCTCTATTCCTCGCTGGTTAACCATATACCCCAAAAACTTTCCTGATGAAACCCTGAAAGAACATTTAAGGGGGTTGAGCTTTATTCTGTATTTTTGGAGGATATCGAACATTCAGCGAGATGTGCTATGTGGTCTACAGTGACATGCGACTTGACCAGCATGTCATCCACATAGACCTCCATGGATTTCCCTATCTGCTTAAAAAACATTCGGTTAACCAGTCGCTGGTAGGTTGCACCAGTATTCTTTAGGTCGAAGGGCATAACTCTATAGCAGTATAGCCCCCAATCTGTAATAAAAGAGGTATGCTCTTCGTCTGGTGCATACATCAGAATCTGATTATATCCCGAGTATGCGTCCATAAAGCTTAGCAGCTCGTGCCTAGAGGTGGCATCCACGAGCTGGTCGATTCTTGGCAGGGGGAAGCTGTCTTTTGGGCATGCTTTGTTGAGGTCGGTGAAGTCGACGCAGGTTCGCTACTTGCCATTGGGTTTCTTTACCAGAACCGGGTTAGCAACCCGGCTCGGGTAGAGTGCTTCTCGAATGGACCCGTTTCGAAGGAGGTTATCCACCTCGGCTTTTAAGGCGGCATATCGCTCCGGATCCATCGCCCTTCTCTTTTGGCGGACTGGCTTAGCTTCACTATCGATGTTTAAGGCATGGAAAATTATATTCGGGCTGATCCCGACCATATCTGCGTGTGACCATGCGAACTCAATTCAGTGGCGAGTTGGGGGTCAAGATTGTTTCCAATCTTCAACACTCTACTCGGCTCGCTTTGGTCGACTGACACTTCAGTTAGGTCCTCGACAGGCCCACTGGAAGGATTCTCTTGAATACGGGGATCCAAACCGTTCTCGACCGGGCCAGGCTATGGTTCGATCCGGCTGATCGCCATTGCCTGCTCGGGCATACCCCACAGAATGCCTTTCCCTTTGGACGCCATCTGCACTACCCTCACATAGCAGTCGCAAGATGCGCGTTGGGATTTGCTCACTTCCCCTATCCCTATCGGAGTGGGGAACTTCATCTTAAGATGGTAAATTGAAGTGATCGCCTTGAAGTTCCTTAGTATAGGTCGCCCCAAAATGTCGTTGAATGCGGAGGGGCAATCCACTACCAAGAATGCAGTGACCCTGGTCACCTCGTTGAAGTCACCCAACATGACCGAAAGTGAGATTGTCCCTTTGGGGATAAGGTGATCCCCGGTGAAGCCATATAAGGGAATGGAGGCTGGCTTCAAGTCGGCCTCGTTCAGGTTTATCCTATCGAAAGCTTACTGGAACAGAATGTGCATAACGCTTCTGTTGTCCATTAACACTCTGTGGAGGTTACAGCGCCCGATTAGAGGCGTGATGATGAGAGCATCGTCATAAGGGTGGTACAGCCGCGCTGCATCTTTCTCGGAGAAGGAAATTTCCTCCTCTTTGCGAACCTTAGGTGGTCGCTGCATCGTACTCATCATACGGATCGGGTCATGAAGGACTACGCGAGCATATCTCTCCTGGGAACCTTGCGAATTCCCTACGAGGTGCGGTCTTCCAAATATGACTCCGACGCTATAAACGCCCTTGTCATCACGAAGCTTCTTGCTTGGTTCTCCTTGATCTTTCCCTTGTACGGGAGCAAAGTTATCAACATACTCCTTAAAATGCCCCTGCTTGATGAGGTTTTCAATTACCTGTTTGAGAGCTCGACACTCATCAGTGTGATGCCCATTATCCTTATGAAAGTGGCAGTATTTTCTACTGCTTCTGGCTGATGGGGGATTTTTCATAGGCTCAGGCTTTCCGAGCAGGCTGGCTTTTTCTGATTTGTCGAGAATAGCCGATACAGATGTATTTAGGGGTGTATATTAATTCATGTCGTGATCACGATGAGGAACCGGAGCATAAGACTTGGGCTCGAACCGTTGTTTCTTTCCTTTTTGCTAATCGTCATTAGCCCAACGACGATCAGTTCTCCTATTTTCTCCCCGACCAGGTGCATTGCTCGAGGTGCTAGGGTTGTGGTGGTGGAGTGCTGCCATGGAGTTCTCAATACAGAGATGTTTCTCCGTGAGGCTATAGAAACGGGTGAGGGAAACATCATCTTCAGCTTGTTGCTCTTTCCATAGGTCGGTCTGTGGACGAACTCCTGCGATGATGAGAGTCTAAACAGACTCTTCAGGGGTATGAGTTACTTTATGAAGCTCTTTGTGGAACTTGTCAATGTAAGATTGTAGGGACTCGTCTCTTCCTTGCCTTATGTTGCTGAGATAGGTCAAGGGCATGGAAAATTTTCTGTTCGCTTGGAAATTCCTCAAGAATCTCGAGCTCATCTAATTCCACGAGCTGATCGACCCCGTCGGTAGCAATCTGAACCATCGTTTGGCATAAGCAGTGAGAGTTACTGCCAAACAACGACACTTTGCCAGGTCCGAAACCTAGTGAAGTTCCATCAAGTCGTTGAATTTATACAAGTGATCCTGCGGATCGGAATTTCCATCGAACGCCTGCATGTCGGGCATTCTGGACCTTGGTGGGAGAGAGGCGGCTAGTACTATCGGAGAAAAGGGAGACGCCTCTGCAACCTGCACCAGCTCGTTTTGCTGAGCCTTTAGTTGATCAAGAGCTTGTTGTAGCTCTTCAATTTGAGGTAGCGGCGCTACCTGAGGATTACTTTCCACAACGTGGGTTCGACCCTCACGGTTACGATTGAGGAATGACCGCAGGTTGAATTCCTCTTCGCCTCTACCGGCAGTCCCAGCCAATCTTGACACATGCTGGCTAGAGGCGTGTGGTGGTGTTGCATTATTCAGGGAATTTTCACGACCCCCGCGGTGGTGCCGACCAACCAACGGAGTGTGGTAACTTCCCTCCAGACGATCAGGGTCGTCATTTTGGCGGTGATGAGGATCGACCCCCTTCGCACTTTCATGGGGGTGTTCATGTGGGATACATTAGTGTAATCATTGCTAAATCCGTATAAAGGGGGACGGATCCTGCGCAGATCCTTCCTTGCGTCCCGTCGTTTACCTACTTCGAGGGTTTTATGATACATGTGCTGAGATTTAGACACGTGGGCATCCCCCAGCCTTTAACCAGTCTGGCGCGCACCTACTGTACTGACGGGAGTGTGCTGCCCACATTCCCCACCGATATAGCTGCGCTAGAACATCTGTGGGACCTTCCCGAGGCCTAATTACTCGCACTAACTGGGTGCCACATCACCCCTAAGACCTGACTACTTGCACCAGCTGAGTGCCACGTCAGCCCCAAAACCTAACTACTTGCACCAGCTGAGTACCACGTCAGCCGCACCTTCTCAGGCATAACAAATATAATTGGCAATTCTTGGTTTGCAATACCGTTAATATATTATCACCTGTTATCCTAATGTTTTCATAACATGCACATACTCTTTTATTTATTTATTTATTTATTTAGAATTATTTTATTTGTAAGTTCTTCATTAGGGACTAGATAATGTTAACATTCAATAACAAGTATATCACAGTATGTAACTTACAAGTGTGACATTAAAAATTATTCCATTTTTTTTTTTTTTAAAGAATTAGAATTAAATGCATAGTTATTAATCTTCAAATCTATGATTTTAAAATTCTCAAATTTTTTATGAGAATTTGAAATATGAAATGAATATTACGCACTTAACTTTGAATTGAATTTATTTATATTGAGAAAATGAGAAATCTTGCAATTTAATAAAAATCATGATTTATTTATAGACATGGTATGAAGAAAGAGGAAAATCATCATTTATCTCGATGTTATAGCAATGCAGAGTCATTTTGACTAACTAGAGTTGTTTCCCTCACCTCGACGATTGTTGATTGTCCCATCAAATTTTACCATGAAGTGGAATTCCAGACCTCCTTCTAATGTAAAAGAACAACGGCGGGAAATCATCCAAAGTTGTAATTAAAAAGGAGTTCATCGTCTTCTAACACTTGATTGGTTAACTTGATTGTTATTCAGGCAACTTTCACCTTTAAAATTGCTCCAATGAGTTTCTTCAACACAAGAACGGGTCTGAAGATCGCCATATGGAGTGAGTGTGTGTGCGTGTCGTCTGATTGGCATCAATGATGTTCGATCTCAATGGGGCCATAATAATAGAATCACAAAAAGAAAGAAAGAAAATGACTTACAAGAAGGGATTTGTTTGAAGCAAATGCTACCAAATAGGGTATTTGCACTCGCGAAATATGCTTAAGCAATTATAAACACACGATTGTAGGGAAGAAAGAGGGAAAAAAAAAAAGGGATGAATAATTATAAGCATGACTCCAACTACTTGATAATAATACCCAAAAAAAAATAGTCATACCTCAGCTACTTGATAATGAAAAAAAAATTAAAATGATAATGTAAAATTAAAATTACAATGAAAGAAAAGCCAATCTACGAGATTTGGTGCTGCTTATCTCTTGCTATGCATATCCCATGCTACATCAAAAAATCACGAATTAAATGAAAAATTGTATTTCTCTTAAGTGTGTGTAAATATGTTTCATTGGAAATCTATTTTGTGGAAATATTTTATGTTCATTTCAAATAATTAAATCTTATTTTGGTAGATATTGACCAATTGTATGAATTATTTGAAATAATATGATTTTCATATGATTTTTTTTTAATTTTTTTTTTTTTGGCATGTATAGAATTAGGAGAAGATAAAATAAATATGCACGTTACACATCAAAACATAAATATGTTGAATTTGTACTAAATAATATATTTATTTAATTTGAATTTGTAGTATGTAATGTGTTTATTTAATTTAGTGTTGTTTGTGTTAGTAATTTTCCTTTTTTTTTTAAGCAGTATTTTTGTCTTTTCAAAAATAATTTTAACAGTCAAATAACCTTTTATTAAGTCAAGGAACTAAAACAATAGTATCTTGAAAGGAGGACTAAAACTCCAATATTTAAAACGGTTGTCGTTAAAAGTAGAAACTGAAACTGTAGGGCCTAAAAAGGAATTAAATTGACACACTTTGATTAAAATTTATTAAAAAAAAAAGAAAAAAAGAGGGGATTACCTCTATCATTAATTTATTATATGTAACGTATAATTAAATAACATAATATTTTGCTTGCATGAGCGATTTTTTTATCATCCTTAATTCTTTATCGTTAGACACCAGAGTTTGTCTTGACATTTCCATGTCTAAACGTGTTTGAATCATGTCCTTTAAGTCAAGAAAGGTTGCCTCTATTGGAATTTCAATCTCAGGGGTCAATTCTCCCTCAGTGATCCTAAAGACATCCATCATTTATGATCAATCACTTAAATTATCTTTTTTTTAATAGTTGTTTTAAGCATAGACTGTATATTTGTATGAAAATACATGCATGTAGTTATCTTCATTCTAAATGTATTTTTTGAACAAAGTAACGCAAGCTTAACATAGTAAAAGTAATTTTGGTAAAGTAGTACATTCTTATTATTGAGTAAAGTAATATGTTGTTGTATTTATACAAAGAACTGTAGCTACATACTTGACAGCTAATCAAAACTAATCTAACCAACTAACTACTTTACAGCTCAACAACTAACTAGTGTAACCAACTGAACCATACAATAAAATAATTTATTTGTATTTTATTCTGTACATCTCCCCCTCAAGTGGGAACTTGATGGAAATCCAGTAAGCCCAACCTTGAAGTAAATTAATGAAACAAAGGGCCAACTAAGGATTTGGTGAAAATGTCGGCAACCTACAGCTTAGAAGAAATACTTTGGGGATGGACAAAACCAGCCTTATATTGATTGCGAACCAAATGACAATCAATTTCGAGATGTTTGGTGCGCTCATGAAAGATAGGGTTGGTAGTGATATGGAGAGCAACCTGATTGTAGAGAGGAATAGGAAGGTGAAGATGATATGAAAGTCCTGAAGAACATAGGAAATCCATTGCAATTCACAAACTGTACAGGCAAGACTACGATACTCAGCTTCAGTAGAGGATCTGGAGATAGTAGTCTTTTTCTTGGTTTTCCAAGAGATTAAAGAAGAGCCAAGATAGACACAATAACTAGTTAAAGACTTCTTGGTAGTTGGACAAGAAGCCCAATCTGCATCACAAAATGCCTCCAAACGAAAAGAGCTATGGGCAGGGAAAAACAAGCCTTTGGAAGGACAACCCTTCAAGTAACAAAGAACATGAACAACGACTTCCCAATGATAAGTATAGGGACATTGAACATATTGATTGAGCTGCTAAGAAGTCTGCCAACTAGTCTGCGATAGTGATCAGGATTAGTAAATAAAGTATCCTCAGTAGAACAAAACTTGAAGCCTTTAGGTAAAGGAGTAGCAGAAGTTTGGCACCAAAAAGGCATGCGTCTATAAGAATATCCAAAGCATACTTCCTCTGATATATGTAAGTAGTGTGAGTGTTAGGAAATGATCAAGTCATGGCAGCGGAAAACAAAAATTATTTACAACATGGATCGTTCCTTAGAACCAAGATTAGGGCACAAATTTACAGTTTATATAATAAATTAGAATTTGCAGAAAATTCAGTCTAGAGTTAAAGAATCATACGCACATTTGGAGGCTCCTCCAACTTGTCTCTAAATGGATTTTGCTACCGACCCAAGGGTAAGATCGAACTAATGTAGTCCACACGAAGATAACCCCAAGGAACTAAAGAGAAACTTGCTAGATCCTCTTTAGCCTTAAGAACCAAGAAGAAATCAAATAATATTTGATTCAACCAAAAAGGCAAACTGGCGTGGGAAGAGAGAAAAAGGGGGTTGGAATTTT